GACATAGAGACAGACACACACACACACACACACACACACACACACACACAGACACAGACACAGACACAGACACACACACACACACACACACACACACACACACACACACACACACACACACACACACACACACACACACACACACACACCCTTCATCGTCGATGCTGTCTTCTCCACACGAGTCCAAAATTCAAAGTTGGCGGCACGTCAACGTTGACAGGTGGTGCGCGAAGTGCGCGAATTTTTTTATTCTTCGTTTGTTGCGTTTCCGCACCTTCGCCGAAATCTTACACAATTTTCTGTCACACACAAATCGGCAACAACGACTTTTGTTGTGGTGTGTGTGTGTGTCTTGCTTTGGGGGCTGGTCCGATTCGCTCAACTGCTTCATCCGCATCCCATCCATCCCAGCCATCCTCCTCGCAGCGTTCCAGCGCTCCAGCCAGCACTGCCGCCTTGCTTGGCAAGCAGCAATAGTGGAGCCACACAGCTGCTTGTGCAGAGAACACAACGTGGTGGTCCCTACGACGACAACTTTCAGTGTGTGGCTGTTGTCTCAGCAGTTTTTTGTTTCGGCAAACACGCGCACACGCTGCCGGCGCGAACTGTGGATTCGTGCGTAGGTTCAAACGCGTACACACACGCACACTCAACAAGCACCAGACGGCAGTAACAACAGCGCCAGCTGCAGTGTCTCACAGCAACATCCTCTGCTAGACACGCAACCGATAGTGACAGCAGAAGCAGCAACCTTGTGGCAAACAAGTTTCCGGAATAAACGCCAGTTGACACTGTAACTGCAGCACCGCAGCCCAAACGCAGCGTGTTTCGTGGTGAATAGTGGGCAAAGACGTTACAGCCCTCGCCATACCCAGCTTTCCAGACACGCTTACAAGAACCGCAGCCATGGGCGACGACAATGAAGTGGATCCTTGCGAGGGCATTTGCGAAACCTTCCTTGAAACGAAGAAGAAGTGCGTGTTCTCTGTTGTGTCTCTGCGCGCGTGTGCATGCACCTGTGCATGCATCCCGCTCTTGCGTGTTTGTTTGATGTGCGCCCCCAGCTCATCCTCGCTTGCACTTTTGCTGCTCCTGTTTTCGTGCATGCATCTGTGTGTATGTGTGTGTGTGTGTGTGCTCTAGGATGCTTCTTGAGAAGAAGAAGCTGCTTGAGCTGAAGTTGAAACAGGTGCACGCAGGCACACACCCCACGCTTGTGGAGAAGCTCAAGGCGCTGGACACCAAGCACAAAGCTGCCATAAAAGCTGCAGGTGGGTCAATATGCAAGATCTTGGTGCCACACGCCTTCCGCGACGCTGCATCTGTGTGTGGTGCGTGCTGTATTTCGTACTGCTCACGATAATCACCACGTGCATCTCTTGTCGCTGCTGTGCATTGCCCGACCGCCATCTTCCACCATCTTCCACTGTCACAGTGGACGTGCGCAAGCACAAGGTGAGCTGGTGTGTGTGTGTGTGTATTTGTGTGTGTGTGTGTGTGTGTGTGTGTGTGTGTGTGTGTGTATGTGTGTGTGTGTCTTGTGGGTTGGTGTGCCTGCCTGTGTTGCCAGCCGTGTTGTCTTGACCCGTGATCATAGGTTGCACGGCCCTTGTCCTGCGTGTGTGAGTGTATGCGAGTGCAGCTGTCGCTGGTTTCCTCACCTGGCCTGCATTTTGGGCTGCTGCCATCTTGTCTCAGGTTCACTTCTTTCGGCTGTGGATTGCGCGCGAACGCGAGGGGCTCATCAACACACACAAGGTGCGTGCACGTGTTAGTGTGTATTTGCGTGTGCTTGCGTATATGGCATGTGTGTATGTGCGTGTGTGCGTGTTTGTGCATGTGTATGTGTATGTGTGTGTTTTGCTGCTGTAACACAACCACGCACCTGCCACAGCCCCTCGCATGGTTTCCCTCTTCTTTCCCTCACCTACCACCCATAACCCCCGCTGCCACCGCCACCGCCACCGCCACTGCCACTGCAGGACGAGGTGACGACGCTGCGCGAGAGAATAGCGCAGAAAAAGGCGGATCACATCGAGAATCTTCGCCAGCAGCATCTCGACATGCTCCTCCTCCCAGAGCCAATCCGTACGTCCATTGGCCCCACGGCTCCCCTGCACTCGTGTGTGTGTGTGTGTGTGTGTGTGTGTGTGTGTGTGTGTGGGTGTGGGTGTGTGTGTGGGTGTGTGGTGTGTGTGTGTGTGTGTGTGTGTGTGTGTGTGTGTGTGTGTGTGTGTCCTTCACGCGTCTCCTTGCGCGTAAGAAGAGCCAGCTGTGTCAGTTTTTTTCGAGCCACAATGCACAACATTCCCTCAAGCCCTATGCACCACCCCATTCTAACACGTTTCCCCTTCCCCTTCCCCGCCTCTCTCTCCTGCGACAGGAGAAAGCGACTTTGTTGCGTGGAAGAAGACAGAGACGAACCAGGAAGACAACAGCACAAGTTCACGCCCCGTGCGCACACTGCCACGAAGAGCAGCACAGAGCGGCGCTGCTGCCGCCACAGCTGCACTCACACAGAAGGACACGCGCACGACAGCAAATGCTGAGCCCAGCGCTGATGGCGGTGCTGCGAGTGCAACAGCAACCACCACGGCCACCACCACCACCACCACTGCTGCTGCTGCTGTTGAGGTGACAGCGGCTGCCAAGCGGCGGGGCAGCGAGCCTGTCGGGAAGAAGAAGAAGGAGAAGAAAAAGAGAAGGGAGGAGGAGGAAGCAGAGCGCAGTAAGGAGAAGAAGGGGCGTGGTGACGCCAAGACGCGCACACGCACGTCAGCAGCTGATGGCTCGCCCAGCAAGCGGCCCAAGGTGCACGTTGGCCCCTGTGTTGTGTACATGCTTCGTGACGACGATATCGCTGCAGACCTCAAGGCTCTCCGCTCATGAGCTGCTTGGTGTGTGTGTGTGTGTGATGTGTGTGTGTGTGTTGTGTGTGTGTGTGTGTGAATGAGAAAGAAAGAGAGCGTGTGCGCGTTGAGTTGTGTGCTTGTGTGTGTGTGTGTGCGTGTGTGTGTGTGTGTGAATGTGCGTGTGTGCGTGATGTTGTGTTAACTGAGTAAGCGAATGCGTACATTGCATAGTTGTCCTGCCTTTTATGTGTGTGTGTGCATGTGTGTTTGTGTTTGCTTTCGCCATCTCTGCTCTGGGAGGTTTTCGCTAGTCAGCTGTGAGAGTGTGTCTGTATGGAGATACCTCTCTCTCTCTGTATTTTTTGCTCGCTCGTGTTTGTTCTTCCTCCACGACGAAATTGTCTCTTCATCATTGCCGCTGGCGTTGTGGAAAGGGTGCAGAGCACCCTGTTTCGACAGCTCTGTGTGTGCATGTGTATGTCTGTGTGAGTGCCTGTTCTTACTTTGCGTTGCTCCATCGTGTGCAGCAGCACCACCAGCATTGCACACACACAGAAGCCAGATTGTTGGCTCGTGGTCACTGCTTGGCGTCACTGTTGTTGCCTTGCTCGACGCCGGTGCTGTTTTTGCCCTGTCTCTCCTGTCGCCAAACGCCATTTCATTCCTGCTCTTGCTTGCTTGGTTGCTTTGTGAATAAACAACATCTCTGTCAACAGCAACGCGCGCATGCTTGTGCTGATTGACACTGAGTGCGAGTGAGTGTGGACACACACACACACACACACACACACACACACACACACACACACATCATTACAGCCTTCTAGGGAGTGCATTGGTTCGTTTATTTGGGCAGCGCACCGCTGGGCTAGTACATGTCCGGAAAAGACACCTGTGGCGTGACTGTGCTTGGGTCGGTGGCATATCGCTCCAGGTTGCGGACAAATGCTCCAGCCACATCCTCAGGGAACGACGTAGCAGCGACGTGCGGGGTAATGGTGACGGATGGGTGTGTCCACAGGGGCGACGCCTCAGGCAATGGCTCCGTTCGGAACACATCCAATATCGCGTGCTGCAATGCAATGTCATGCGTGTGTGAGTGTGGGCGGGGGGAAGCTGCTGAGTCAAGGATAGCCCAGCCAAGCTAAACGGTTGTGATGTCACATGTAACACGCATGCACGCACGCACGCATGCACGCACACACACACACACGCACGCATGCACGCACACACACACACACACACACACACACACACACACACACAGCTGCATGTGCTGACCTTGAGCAGTCCTTGGTCGAGGAAGTCGCACCAGTCGCTGTCATTCTCGACAATGTCGCCCCGCCCTGCGTTGATGAACGTCGCCTGTGGTGGTGATGTTGTGATGGTGGTGAGGGCAATGGGAGGAGAGGTGCTGAGACAAATCTAGCATCACACACCGACACACACATACACAGAGACACACAGACACAAAGACACACACATACACACAGACAGACAGACACACACACACACATAGGCACATACAGACACACACCTCGGCGCAGTGTGCGCGGGTGAGCAGGTCTCGGTTGATGATGCCACGTGTCAGCGGAGTGGATGGCATGAGGTTGATGATGTAATCGCTGTGGTGCATTGCCTCAGCCATGTCGTCCGTGGTGAAATAGCACAGCCCTTTGACGCCGTCATGCGGAATCGATCGCACAACGCCACGCACGCTCGACCCAAGTCCAAGCAGCGTGCTCGCAACCTGACACCGTTATCAGTCAGTCGTGGTGGAGATTGGCCAATGCGATCAGGCAAGCATGAGAAGAACACGCACGCGTGTGCACATACACGTCGTCATGGATCGCATGATGCGTGTAGTCAGACAAAGGCAAACAGCAGACGTTGTATGCAAGCACTCATGCAGCCATTTTCCCAAGCGACCCCAATCATAACCACTCCCCCCCCCCGCCTCCTTCCCGCTCTCCACCACAATCGAGTATCGTGGCTCACCACGCGGCCAATTTCGCCAACGCCGAGGATGCAGAGGGTGAGGTCGGCAAGCGAGCGGTATCTGTGGGCCGGCAGTCCACCGGGCCGCCACCGCTTTGCCGCCTGCACATACGCACGTGTCGAGAAGCAGAGGGGATGGGGGAATGGAGCAAGGTGGATGGCATAGAAGGGCCAGGCATGTGAGGCTGAGGCCATCATGTGCACAAAACACACACACACACACACACACACACACACATTGTTGACTGTTGCATACGCACGAGCACGCACACGAGCATGCTCACAGAACCTGGTCTTCGTGGTAGCGCACGACAAAACGCTCCCGCGCCAGTACTTGCGTGAGCACATACTGCGTCATGAGGGGCCCGAACGGCCCGGCGTACCTATGCGTGATGATGGAAGAAGTTTGCATGGGAAGGGAATGAACACTGGACATTGCAGCCGCGAACCTTCGGGTATCTCAAACACACACCCAATACACGCATACACACACGCAACACACACCCCAACACACGGACCTTGTGAACGTCCAGCTGGGGACACGCTGGTCTTGGTTGAGCCTGTTCATGACCAGCTCCACGCCAGCCCAAGTGGACTGCACCCATTTGCATTCCTTGGGAACCTGCGGCAAGAACTCGGCCAGCATGTCTGCGTACATCACCATGAGCAGCGGCGAGGGGTTCATACACACGCATGCGCTCGCACATGAGTGACACGGTCACTGGAGCATGCGCAAGCAACCTCATCACACACACACACACATGCGTCCACCTGGGTCGATCAAGAGGATGTCTGCCTTGGAGTCTTTCAAGTGATCCTTAGCGACCTGCACACAGAGGAGCATGGGTGAGAGAGAGAGAGAGAGAGAGAGAGAGAGAGAGAGAGAGAGAGAGTGTGTGTGTGTGTGTGTGTGTGTGTGTGTGTGTGTGTGTGTGTTTGTCTGCTGCGTGCACGATTGAGCGTGAGTCACATCAAACAAAAAGACGAACAAACAGACGAACGAACACACACACACACACACACACACACACACCTCCTGCACGATGAACGCTGTGGTTTGCAGCTGCTCGGAAGCTGCAATGCAGCTGCAAACGACGTCTGCCAGCTGGTTGAGCTTGGACACGACACTGATCTTCGTCACCCGACTCGCCATGGCGTACGGCTGCTTTGCTCGCTTGTGACAGTGCACTCACAACAAACACAAGTCGTTGCACTTATTGTTTGTGGGCTTTGTAACCGAGACTGATTTCAGTCTCATACCCGCGTGCACCAACCACCAGCAACTCCACAGCAGCAGCCACACGACGATGGCCGACACACCAACGACAGCGTTTGCTGTGCGCAGCCGCGATGGGCTCGTGTTGTGGTCTGGCCCGCCAGGCGATATCGTCCCCACCAACCGCATTCAGTGAGTGGCGCAAGCGCGCCTTGCCTGTGTGTGTGTGTGTGTGTGTGTGTGTGTGTGTGTCTGCCCTTGTGCAGGCGCTTTTGCGGTTGACCTTGTGCACCACCCACCATGACGATTGTCGTTACGAACACCTCCACTTCTTCTTCTTCACGGCGACCGTTTTAGGGAGCCCGCTGCTTGCCGTGCGCTCGTCTTTTCCAAGGCTGGCGACAAGGTCGCGTGGTGCAATGGCCGAGAGTAAGTCCACACGTACTTGATTTGTTGCTTGTCTCCTCCATCCGCCACATGATTTGTGTGCGCTTCGGAGTGTTCGTGTATGTGCCTTGTCACTGACGCCTCGTCTGACCAACAACCCTGCCAGGGTTGTTGTGTTGAACCTCGAGACCAACGAGCGCGAGTGCACCATTGCACGCCCCAAGACCAGCGCCATCGCCTTCTCCCCAAAGGCCACTCACCTCTGCACCTGGGAGACCTTCACCAGTACGCTTGTGTGTGTGTGTGTGTGTGTGTGTGTGTGTGTGTGTGTGTGTGTGTGTCTGTGTGTGTCTGTGTGTGTCTGTGTGTGTGTGCATGAGTGCGGCAATCATCGTATTGATGACCAAGTGTGTCAAGTGTTGGCCTCCTACACCGGTGGCATCCCCCCATCTCTGTCTCTTGTTGCGATGACCACTTCTAACGACAGCCGCTCTTTCCCCCACCATCCCCATGCCTGCTGCTTCATCGCAACAGCCAAGGATGGCCAGGCCAACCGCAACTGCGGCGTGTGGGCGCTTCCCTCTGGCGAGGAAGTGATGACATACAGCCACAAGCAGCGCTCCAACTGGCTGCCCAAGTGGACCGATGACGAGAGCGTGTGCGTGCGCCAGACCCCCAACACGCTTCTCTTCTTCGACGGCGCCAACATCACTGCAGGTTTGTGTGTGTGTGTGTCTGTGTGCAGGTCGTGCAAGGTGCAAGGGCGTGTTCGTGCTGCTGGTGTGCTAGTTCTGCGCCTACCCACGCATCACCATGCACCAACTGCATCGATTGTTGTCTCAACCATCAACTCCACCACCACCACCACTTGATCATCACCACCATCACCTGACCATCAGCCCCTACGCAGAAGCTGAAGCTTGAAGGGCTGACGGCGTTTGAGGTCGCCCCTCGCCTCCCCCACTGCCGCGTCGCCGTCTGGATCCGCGGCAAGAAGGTGTGGTTGGTTGGTCGTGCGTGTGGTTGGTTGGTCGTGTGTGTGTGTGTATGTGTGCGCGCGTGTGTGAGTGAGAATGTGTGTGTGTGTACATGTGTACAGAACCTATTGCCTCACCACCACCACCATCATCATCGTCACCATCATCATCATCATCATCACCACCACCATCCCTCTCCCTTTGTACGCTGTTGTTGCTGCCGCACGTCAGGGCATGCCGTCTGCGGTGCGCGTGTACTCGCCGACCAACCTCAACGCCCCCATCGCGTACAAGTCGTTCTTCAAGGCAGACACCGTCAGCATGAACTGGAGCAACAAGGGTGCGCGCACTCACGTGCCATGTGTGTGTGTGTATGTACGTGTGTGTATGTATGTGTGTGTATGTGTGTGTGTGTGTATGTGTGTGTGTGTTCGTTTAAGCGTGTGGGTCAACTATGCGCGCTGCCAGTATTACATTGCCACCCCCAACTCCAACTCCAACTGCAACTTTCACCAACACGGCTACCCTTTCACGATCATCACCCTCTCCTCTATGTAAACATGTTTTGCGTCACCGCACACCTCGCCACTGCCAGGGTCTGAGGTGCTTGTGAGCACGCAGACGGATTCCGACTCATCTGGCGCGTCGTATTACGGCGAGACGGCCCTGTACTTCCTCACCTGTCACGATGGCACCAGCGCCAACGTCACCCTCGGTAATGTGCATGCAAGGGAGGGGGAAAGCGTGTGGATGTTGGGTGCAAACGTGCCTGCATGCGCATGTGTGTGTGTGTGCTTGTGTACGTGTGTGTGTGTGTGTGCTTGTGTTTGTGTGTGTGTGTGTGTGTTGAAGAAGTGACTGCTTTGCCTTTTCATCTGTTGCCCGTCGTACGTGAAACGTGATACGTCATCTCATGGCAAACACACACACACACACACACACACACACACACACACACACACACACATGCACAATTCCGTGCCCGTGCGCGTGCACAGACAAGAAGGGTCCGATTGCCGGGTGCGAGTGGTCTCCAAACGGCCGCCACTTTGTTGCCATGTACGGCACCATGCCAAACAAGGGTGAGCCACCTCTTACACTTTGCAGCGTGGTGTGTGTGTGTGTGTGTCGCGGATGAGTTGTACTATGACCATGCTCATCGATGCCAACGCAACACACAACACGTCCTCGTCCCCCCCCCCCCCACACACACACACAAACACCATCTGCACCGCTCTGCACAGCGAGCGTGTTCAATTACAAGTGCAAGCGGGTGCAGGATCTTGGCACGGGCCACCGCAGCATGGCGCGCTTCAACCCACACGGCTCCGTCCTCGCCCTCTGCGGCTTTGGAAACCTTGGGTCAGGCCGATGCAGTGTGATGTCACGTGTACCGCTTTGTCGCTCACTTCTCCGCGTTTTTTCCAACTCGAGACACACACTCCTTGCACCACACCACGCCCCATCCCACACAACTCACATCACAAACCCCGCCTCCTACATCAACCTCACCTCCCCGAATTATGCGTCACACTTTTCCAACCCATCTGCCTGTGTTACGCGCGTGTGCAGTGGCGAGGTTGAGATCTGGGACACGGACAAGTGGGAGAAGATCAACCGGTTTGTTGCGTTCAACACGACGACGTTTGAGTGGTGTGCGGACAGCCGCCACATTCTCATGGCCACCACCACCCCGCGCTCCACCGTCGACAACTGGTCAGCACCGAGAGCAGAGATAGAAGCGGGAAGCGGACAGGAGAAGTGGAGTGTGTGTGTGTGTGTATGTGTGTATGCCGTGGAGGCGAGCTGCGTCCCGCAACGCTACCAACACACACGCACGCACGCACACACACACACACATTTCTTATCATTCATCCCACACACACACACACACACACACACACACACACACACACACACACACACACACACACACACACACACACACATTTCTTATCATTCACCCCACACACACCCTCCCCCCTTATAGCTTCAAGGTGTGGCACTACACGAAGGGTGAGGTGAAGAAGCAGGAGTACGGCGAGCTGTACGAGGTTGCCTGGCAGCCCATGTCGTGGAAGGCGTTCCCTCGTCGCCCGCTCTCCCCCGTTCCACAGGAGGTCAAGGAGGCCGCGTCTGCACGTGAGGAGCACGTGTTGGAGGGGGGTGGGAAGAGGGTGAAGGGGTGAACTCTTGTGAACATGTTGTTGTGCGTGCATGCATGCAAGGGGTACAAGGGCGGGTATTTCACATGTTGACAACAAGGAACTCTACAACATAGCACGCTCACACGCTCAAACGCACACTCACACACTCAAGCGCGCACTCAAAGCATACTCCCACCACGCACACTCAAAGCATACTCGCTCACGCACACTCGCTCACACTCACACACATTTACCCACACTCACCACCACCACCATCATGACAGCGAAAGCCGAGCCGTACCGCCCCCCTGGCATGCGCAACCGCGTTGTTGGGATGCAGCCCGTTGTTGTTCCTCCTGGCGGCGGCGACGCAGACAAGAAGAAGAAGAAGAACAAGAAGAAGAAGAGCAAGAAGAAGAAGCCAGAGCCCGAGCAGGAAAAGGTGGCGTGCCGCGGTTTTACTCGAGGGAATGGTGGTGGTGGTGGTGTGGTGGTGGTTGTGTGGTGGTGGTAATGTGTGAGTCATGCGTGTATACCCTTGTTTGGTTCTGCACGCATTGCTCCTCTGTCACTGTCAGCCATTCGCCCGGTATCCTTTGTTCCTTCCCCCTCCCCCCAAACACCAAACCCTGACTACCCCATCACAACCTCACGCCACGCCGAAACTGCTGCGCCCGACACCATGTGCGACGCGTCGTGCAGTCTGCAGCAGAGAAGCCCCCCTCCGAGCGGACGGAGGAAGAGACGAAGGAGGTGTTGAAGCGTGCGCGTGCACTCAAGAAGAAGCTTCGCCAAATTGACGCCCTCAAGCAGCAGCAGGACGAGGGAGAGACGCTGAACCAGGAACAGGTGTGCTGGTGATGGTGACGTTCGTGACGGTGGCAGTCGTGTCTTGGTCTTGGTCGGGGTTGTCCTGTGAGATGTTTGTTCTTGCATCACTGGCTTTGACTGCTTGTCGAGTTGACTGCTTGTCGAGTTGACTGCGTGACGGTTTGACGGGTTGACTGGTTGCTTTGCACTCCTACCATCTTTTGACAATCATCATTCTCATACCGCCATCATCACCGCCATCATCATCATCACTACCACCACTACCATCACCAGCTTGACAAGCTTGCCTCTGCCGCTGCCCTTGAGGAAGAGCTCGAGTCTCTCAAGATTGAGGACGACAGCAAGTAGTGTGTGCCGGCCCTCCTCTTGCTTGCAGGCACGCACCTCTGTGATGTGTGCATGTTTGCATGTGCTTGATGGGGTTGGGCAGGATGCAAGCGTGTTGTGTTGTTGTGGCACGACTGAGCAGCCATCCTTCCAACTTCTGCATTGTCGATGCGCTGTGGATGCGTTGCTGTTTCTTGTCACGTGTGTCTATGTGTGTGTTTGGTTTGTTGGTGTTTGCTAGCTGTGCGCTGACGCAATGAAGAATGAAACACAACTGTTCACTGAAGGCCACGCACACGGTGGGCATGTGAGTGGAGGGAGAGAACACAACAACAAGAAACGGCAACAAGAAACGACAACGCGACAAGCAAGGCGACACGCAACAACAGCAGTGCAGCCGTGGCGTGGTTGGTGGTGGTGGATTGGAGAACGAGGTGACAGGAGCGCGGACGCTTAGTCTCTCTCCGCAATGGCAGTCAGGTGCCTGCAGTGTTTGTCATGGATGTTGACAGGGATGTGATGTTGGTGAGTGGTACGATGGGATGTGTGATAAGAACAGAGAAGGTAGCAGACAGAGTTTGCAAGACACACAATCTCACACACACACACACACACACACACACACACACACACACACACACACACACGCACACACGCGCCATCATGCGTCTGCGGTTGCACAGCAGAGCAGCGCACCTGTCAATTTCCTCCTCAGAGAGGGTGGTGAACTTTGGGTTCTCCTTCGTGACAATGGCAACCTCAATCTCAGACGCCTTAAAGTCCATCGACATGAGCGTGCTCAGCGCACTGATGGCCTCCTGCACACAGGCAGCAGTGGCCATGGCGCAATGACGTGTGGTGACGTGTGGTGACGTGTGGTGCGGTGAGGGGAAGCGAGGTGAGACGCAGTGGGGTTTGAATGGAGATGAGAGCACACTCCAAGCACACGCGAAGAAAAAGCAAACAAACATGCAGAGTCACACACACACAATTACAATCACACACACACACACACGCAGTGTCACACACCTGGACGGTGCCGTCGTAGTCGAGTGTTGGGTTCTTCTTGATGCGCTTCTCGAGGAGGTTGTGAGCCTCAATCATCTTCGTCCCCGCAGCAACGGCCTTGTATCCGGCATAGAAGCCAGCAGGGTCGCACTTGTACACCTGTGGGCCAAGCTCATCATCAACCCCAATCAGGATCATCGCTACAACACAAACACACGTGTAGATGATGGCGACGGCAGTGATGAGACGGCGGCAGTACTGTTGGTGGTGGTGGTGGTGGTGGTGGTGGTGGTGGTGGTGGTGGTGGTAGTCACTGACACACCGCACTGCAAAGGTGCGCGTATGGCGTGCACATGGGGAGGAAGAGGACGAGCCAAAGTGTTGCATTAGTCGACAGCTTACTTGATCCCAGGGGTCGAAGGCCGGCCTCCTGTGTGTTGATCTGTGACAGGTCTGCCACCCGCTTGGCCTGGGTGAAGAGAGGAGGATTGGTGACAAGGGGGGAGGTTGAGCCATGCGCACACAAATATGTGTAAACGTGCACAAACACACACAGCCACACACAGACGCACACAGACACACACACACGCAACAGACACGCACACACGATGATGCGGCTTGAACGAACCACTTGGTCGATGGGCATGTCGTAGCCGAAGCGGTACTTGAACTCTGCGGCTTCGTACCGCGCACGACGCACTTGTGATCGCGCATCGGCTGAGTAGTCATGGAGCAGGTGCGGTGTGAGATGTGGACACGAACAAAGCGACGCGTATCCAAACGAAGCGAGATGGTCGACTGCACGGCCGAACCAATCGACGTCATGCAGTCACACAAAAAAGTTCTCGACGCACACTCTCGTTCACACTCACACAGACACACAGACACACAGACACACACACTCACAGACCCACACACACACACGCGCGCACACACACACACACACAAGCACACACACATACTCACACACGCACAGGCACACACACAAACCCACACACGCACAAACGCATGTTCCCTCACCAATCATGCCCGTCATGACGCAGCCGACGTTCTGGGTGATTTTGAACATGTGTGTGATGGTGTCTGGGACGAGCAGTTTGTCGGGGACCTTCTTCTGGGTGATGGCGACACAGCAGTCCTGCCCACGAATGGCAAGGCTTGTGTTCTTGGCCGTGTTGATGGCCTTGAATGCATACTCTGGACATGGTGGGGAAGGAAAGGTTGGGGTTGGAGTGGTATGGTTGAGTTTCAAAGATGGAGCGTGCAGGTAGCTACAGCGGCAAAACAAAAACAGAGAAGAGAGATAGTGTGTGTGTGTTTGTGTGTTTGTGTGTGTGTGTGTGTGTGTTTGCTTGTGTATTCTGTGTTCACACCATGGTACAAGCACAGAAACACACGCACATGAACGAACACACAAACACACAAACACACAAACAACAACAACAATGCAGGAGGTGCACGCACCGACTTGGTACAGCCGTCCCTCGGGAGAGAAGACGGTCAAGTGCCTGTCATAACCGGCCGATGAACCGCGCGACATGGTCGTTCACTCGCGTCCACTGGGGGATCAGCGATGCGTGCTGGGGCCAAAGGAGGAAGGTAAGGCAATGCCAAAGACGAAGACAGACACACACGCACACACAAAGCAACCGTCCGTGAGCAGAGGAGAAGCAAGAGAGCGACAACAGACAACAAAACCGCCGACAACTGAAAAGATGGGTGAATGTGTGCGATTAGCGAAGGCACACATAATTTTCGGCAGTTGGAAGGAAAGGAAGGAAGCAAAGATGGCGGAGGAGGTGCACGTCGAACGCGGCATTGTCTTGCGATGGTGAGGGGGGGTGTGCGTGTGCAGTGACGTGTGTGTGTATGCATGTGTGCGTGTGCATGTGTGTGTATGTGCATGTGTGCATGTGTGTGTATGTGCATGTGTGCATGTGTGTAACACAAACATACACACACAGACACACACAGACACACACAGACACACACATACACTCACAGACACACACATACACACAAGCAGACACACACGGACACACACAGACACACACAGACACAGTGCATACATGCGTGCACAGATGATTGCTCAACCTGTTGCATTTCTTGCTCTGTGTTCCAATTGTGTGAACGTTAGCGACATGAGCATCAAGACGTTTGTGCAAGCACTGGAAGCGAGGAAGATCATCAACAACGGAAACCCGTTCATCATCGAGGACCTGGGGTCCTTTGGGCTCTTTGTGAATCGGGACTGCGTGGAAGAGATTGAAGGCCGCGTTGCAAGCATGCTTGACTCAAACCACTTTGACGACGATGCAACCAAGAAGGGAAAGAAGAAATACGGCTAACAGTTTAATTTTTTTTTTTGTGTGTGTGTGTGTGTGTGTGTGAACTTGTACCTGTGCGCTTAGAATTTGTGGGTGGTGGCGGGTTGCTGTGGTGCACATTGACACATTTGCACACCACATGTACCACGCAGTCCTGAAACAGCTCTAATTGTATTTTTTCAGCCCAAACTTTTGTTGTTTGATTAACCGAGCGAACACAGCAATGGTTCACGGCCAACGCTATGCAGTAAACGACAAGGAACTATGATGACAAATCATGACCTCGCCAACGCACCCCCTAACCATCCTGAAAACAACCCCAGACAAGCACAACATGCACCATGGAGAGAGAGAGGGGGGGGAGCGAGAACGGAAAGAAGAGAGAGGGCTACGGGAAGACATAGAAAGCAGAACACAAACACGTACACACTCACGCACACAGAGCACATACGCACAACCACATCCACACATCTACACACAGAGCGCAGAGCACACACACACACACACACACACACACACACACACACACACACACACACACACACACACACACACACACACACACACCAAGCAACTAGTACGCGTAGAGAGGCTCCTCGTCGTCGTCTTCATCGTCGCGCTGCGCCTGTGCGGGCACAGCCTGCAACATGCGGTTACGGCGCGGGTTGAGCCCAAGGGCACCGCCAGACCCCTGCCGGCTCACACGCTGCTGTTGCTGCTGCTGCTGCTGATGATGATGCTGCTGCTGCTGCTGTTGATGATGATGATGATGGTCTGAGACGGAGGAGCGCGTGCTGGTGCGGTGCGAATGGTCAGCAGAAGCTGTCGCCCCATCGCGCTCACGCTGTTGCCGTGATGGCTGTACACTTGTTGTTGTCGTCGTTGATGTGGATGTCGACGTTGACGCTTGTGCTGTGGCGCGATACTGGTGGTCACCATTGTCATCAGCAGCGGTGTGCGCTGGGCTGTGGGGTGTTGAGGCGGCCGCAACGGCGCGGGCAAGCAGATCTTGCAGCATGTCTTGCACCTGCGTCCGCTCCCGCTCCTGTCGTGCATGCAGGCAACGGCATAAGGGGGGGGGAGGGGGAGGGTGAGGGGTGAGGGCAGCAGAGGATAACACCAACATTAACACACACTTACACACTTACACACACACACACATCTCGCACCTTTATGAGCTGGTTGATGTGTCTGAGGTGCGTGCGGTATGTGACATTGCCGCGGTCAACACGACAGGCAAAGGCAGCAAACTCAAGCGCAAGCGACAGCTTGCCCTGCTGCTCATACACACGGCTGTGGCAGGTGGTGGGGGTGATGATGATGTGGTAGGCGTGATGGGAACAAGACCAAGGGGAAACGGATGGGTGAGCGATTTGGGGGCTGGGGGATCGGACACGGACAGGGTACGAAGAGGTCATTCACACATATGCACACACACACACACACACACACACACACACACACACACACACACACACACACACACACACACACACACACACACACACACACACACACACACACACACACACACACACACACACA